TCGCCTTTAATTATACCATAATTATTATTTTTGTCATCTTACCATGAATATGTGTATGCTATTATTATTATGACAATATTATGATTTCGTTTCTTCATTTTCATAATTTCCATTGTCATTCTTGTTATAATCATTATAATCATAATAGAAATTGTTATTATAATTATTATTATTATCATTGTTATAATTATTATTATTACAATGTCAATATCATTGTTATTATTATTTGTTAATATAATTATTATTACTATCGTCATTATTATCATTGTTATTATCATAATCATTACTACTGTTGTTATTACTATCATTATTATTATCATTATAATTATCATGATTATCATCCTTATTTTTATCATTATCATCATTGCTTTTATCATTAGTGTTAATAATGATGACAGTAGTATCAATAGGCATCATCATAATCAACTTTGCTATTATTATTTCTATTATTGTTGCTGTTGTTATTTGTAATATTCTAATTTTTACTATCATCATTGTTATTATTTACTACTACTTGTAGTAGTAGTATTAGCATCATCCTAATTATTGTTTTTGTTATTATTAACATTATCATTATTATCATTGTTATTACTATTAGTAGTAGTAGTATTATCATCACCATCATCGTCATCATCATCATTATCATTATCATTATCATTATTATTATGTCATATATAATATCAATGATGCATTTAATTATCATTATTATTATCATTATTGTTATTTTCATTACCGTTGGTATTACTAATACTATCATTATTCTTTTTTCTATTGCTATTTTTTTAATATAGTATAGATGTTATTATTATTATTGTTATCATTATTTTCACTATCATCAATATTATATGTTTTGCTATAATCATTATTATTGTAATTTATGTTACAATCGCTATTACTGCCATTGCTTTTATTATCATTACAATAATCATTATTATCATTCTCGATAGTACCATAATCAATTCTCTTAATAAAAAGAGTAATATTGTTTTTATTACCACAATCATTAGTATTATCATCATTATCATAATTATTATCAACTTCTTAATCCATATCATTGTTCTAATCATCATTAGTTTGGTTAAAATTATCTTTTATTATTGTTGTCATTATCATATCATTATCATTATTATTATTACTAGTAGTAGTAGTAGTAGTAGTAGTATTTTTATTATCATTATTATTATCATTATTATTATTATTATTATTATTGTTATTATTATTTTCATTTATTATTATTATTATTATTATTATTATTATTATTATTATTATTATTATTATTATTATTATTATTGTTATTATCATTATCATCACTATTATTATTATCAGCTTTATTACTATTATTATTATCAGCTATATTATTATCATCATGATTCTTACTATTCTTAATATTATCATTATCATTATTAATCTGATTATTTTCATCATAATTATCATCATATTCTTATCATTATATATCTATATATTATTGTCATTATTGTTATTATTATTATTGTTATTATTATTTTTATCATTATCATTATTATTATTATTATTATATTATCATTATCATCATTATTATTATTATCGGCTTTATTATTATTACTATTATCATTATTATTATTATCATCATGATTCTTACTATTCTTAATATTATCATTATCATTATTAATCTGATTATTTTCATCATAATTATCATCATCATATTCTTATCATTATATATCTATATATTATTATCATTATTGTTATTATTATTATCATCATCATGATCATTTTGTTATCGTTATTATTATTATTGTTATCGTTGTTATTATTGTTGATATTATTATTATCCTTATCATTATCATTATTGTTATTGTTATCATTATTATAGTAATTGTTATCATCATCATCATCATAATTAGCATAGCTATAATTATCATTATTACTATTATCATTATTATTATAGATCTTACTATTATCATGTTTATTGTCATTATAATGATCAATATTATTATTATCATTCTTGATACTACTGTTAATATTTTTGTTTATCAGTATTATCATTATGAACATTGTTACTATTAAGTTTGATTTCTTAAATAGGTTTTTACTAATTGTGTTAAATTCATTTCTATTACCAGTATCACTATCCCTATCATCATTATTATTATAAGTATGATTATTATTATCAATATTTTCTTGACATTGAAAAAATATCGTTATCAATATCTTTACTATTGTAGTCGCTATATCTTTATTATTCAATTCCATCATTACTTTATGAAAACAGTAATTATTATAATATCATCATTTTTATCATCATTATCATTATCTTCATTATTATATTTTTTATTATAATTGTCCTAATTATCATTATTATCAATATATTAATATATAATGATAATTATTATTATTATTGTTATCATTATTACCATTATCACTATCATTATTATCACTATAATTATCAATAATATTACAGTCATTACCATTATCATTATTATAACTTTTGTTAAGACTATTACTAATAATAAAAGTAGTAATAGTAGTATTAGCATAATAATTTTTATGAGTATTATTATAACTATCATTATTATTATTATCATTATTATTATTATTATCTTTATTATTATTGTTATTATCATTATTGTTATTACAGTTATTA